GTGTGTGTGTATATATATATATATATATATATATATATATATATATATATATATATATATATATATATATATATATCGTCGTTACTTCTTGGACTTGCTGCTGGTGACGGAATGTACCGATTGACATATGCACTTTGTTATACATACATATAATTAGATTTGTTCCTTTGGTAACAATTTGTCAAATAATGTGGAGTTTAGAATAATTGATTCTGTTATGCGAACAAAGCGAAAAATGGGCTCATCAAGCTATTTGTACGCATATATTGCACGCGATGCTCTAATGTCACTGTACCAAGTGTCTTTATACACAATATATTCTCTCTCCTCGCTAATTTCTTTTCAATTTTCTATAAATATATGTTGAGTTTTCAGTATAAAAAATGTAGACAAATAAAAATTTTTGTTAAAATTCGTTTAAAATCACAATCACAATTGGAAGTTTTGTACGGAGGAATGAGAGATATTTTGTCGGAACTCTGTCCTTGAATTATTTCTAACTTGAGAATAGTTACAATGCGTCAACAACGCGTAACCAATGGTCCTTGGGAGCCTATGAATGAAACTCGCTGTAAACTCACGGTGAAATTGTCACAAAACAAGCTACAAGGGCTTGTAGCTAGTCGTTGCGTGTCACTTCGATAACCGAATCGATTATAAATGGACATTCACAGAAAGAGAAAAAAAAGAATATCGGATATATACAAATGATTGATTGTCTATATAAGAACGATGTGCATGGTCATCAGCTTGTGACGCAAAGCGCAACTGGGTATGTGATCGATTTGTGATCAGGTGGTACGCGTCGGGGTCGTCAGAACGCTACTTCCTCGAGTACCTCGAGTCCCTCTCCGGCGACACCAATTGCCCTTGGTACGGGGGCTGCGGCACAACCACAGCAGCCTCAGCAATTGCCTCCAGTGCAGACACCCATTGCTCCAGCGTCGCCCACCGTTCCAGCGCCTAAGGAAGACCATCTGCCGGCTGCCTCTTCGCCTGGCACGGCCGTGCCATCGCCGTCTTCTGTCCGCGCGACAGAAACCTCCACGGGAGGATGTGCAGCAGGAGCTCCGGGAACAGCGACAGCGCCGTCAGGAATCGGAGGAACAACAGGGAGCGGAGGAGCCGGAGGAGGAGGAGGAGGAGGAGGAGGAGGAGGAAGTGCAGGCGGATCACCTACCCCTGGGTCAACGGAGAAGAAAGCTGGTGGCAAGTCGTCGGCGGCGCAGCCATCCCCCTACTGCGACTTCTGCCTGGGTGATGCGAGAGAAAACAAAAAGACTGGCGGCTCGGAGGAGTTGGTCTCGTGCAGCGATTGCGGCCGCTCAGGTAAGCCAGAGGAAAAGATCAAGCGCAAGTATACCCGAAGAGCGAATCACAATTAAAATTCGCCGCGTCGTCGGCGAGTGCGACTTCCAAAAACAATGTTGGTAATAATCATAACGACGATAGTGTGGTATGATATGCTAGCTATAATGATGATAATATTGATGGCGATGATGGTGATAGTAGTGATGACGATGACGATGACTATGACGACGACGACGACGACGACAACGACGACGAGAACAAAGACGAGAGGATGAGGACGACGGCGAAGAAAATTATAATGATGATGGTGATGGTGATGGTGATATGATTATAATGACGAAGACTACGACAACGACGATTACGGTGACAATGGTGGTGGTGGTAGTGGTGATGGAGATGGTAATCACGTAGTCACGTATTATTCGTTGAATAAAGTACTTTTGATCGGTGAGAACTGTTTCTCTCAAACGGTTCATTTTCTACATCTCTTTGCAAACATACCACAGCATCTCGAAGCATATAGTCAGATACATCTCAAAAAAAAAGATGAAAAGCGAGGATGTTACTCGCAATGTTGAGCATGCTTTCGATTGAGATGATTGACGACTTGTGTCGAGACACGAGTTATACGAGACTAGCGATTACATAGCGGTATGATGGTTTAGTGCAATTCACAGTGTCGATATCTGAGCGTTATGGAGAATATTGGATATATGTGTACGCGTTTGCGTTACCGAAGAATCTAGAGAGCCGATTTGCTTGCGAGATAAGATATTCATTTATGCTTCCACATTTCGGCTGTTAATACCAGGAACGAGTAGTATCTTGTTAATTTGACGACGAGCAAGCACGCATGCCGTTTTTCACGAAAAAAAAAAGAGAAAAGGAACAATGAGGCACGCTCTCTTCTCCATTCACGGATCGCATATTCCAACAGATCTACGATTGTTAAGCACGCAATCGATATGTTTAAAATACTCAGTTACATTTGTATAATTTTTAAAAGTTTCACGTTTTCGTTAATGCGTATTATGAAACGAGCCACTCATACACGTATATTCGTATAGTAAATATTTAAAGATATCACAATGGCATCGCAGACCATGTTATACGTGTTTTAAATTGTTAAAATGAAGAGGAGATGAGTTTTTGAGTTGTATAGAGTTACAGTCGTCGCGTGACGTGCACCTTTTCGTCACTGCCGCCAAGGGTAATAGAAACGTACTGTTGATTAATTAGGTGCAATAATTAAGATATTCAATTATTTGCACAGCTTAGAGATCAAACGGTTACGAGCTTTACATACACTAGTCAAGGCAAGGAACACAAAACATCGTTTTGTCAATGGTGCAACTTGTCGCATCTGAGTAATGGGAATTTTCAGGAATTCCTTTACTACATAAATTTGCTGTGATTTATAGTATTTCAGTGATTAGTTTTAAGATTAAATGAATTGGTACGCGCGTAAATATTATACGAATGAGAAAAGCATGAACTTAAAATCCATATCGGTATCGAGTTAAAATTTCATCGTGTGTGTATGTGTGTGTGTGTGTGTGTGTGTACATGTTTATATATATATATATATATATATATATATATATATA